AATGACCTTTTCTCCTAGGAATGAACGCATTCCAATTGCAAGCTATACTTTAGGCTCCTCTGGATTTGGCGGGCATAAGGTTATCAAGCAGAGACTGTTGGCTGTAGGTATTAAAGTTTTAGAAAAAACAAGATTTGAAAAACGATAGCAAAATGCCAGAGCTGACTCAAGCCTGGTATATCTCCATCCCATCCTACCAGCAACAAGACGCATCACCTAGTATTTTACCCAGTGTTAAAGGTATTATTTCACTGCTTTTAGAATTTTTGGAGCATTTTGGCTTTAAATTTTTTTTTTTGTCTTTTTCCTTTTTATCAGTACTGGGGATCGAACTTATGACTGCCTGCTTGCAAGGCAGGTGCTTATGCCGCTGAGCTAAACCTCCAGCCCCCATAAAATTTTGTTTGTTTTTGATACAGGGTCATCTTGTGTAGTTCAGGCTAGCCTCAAACTCACAGTGATCCTCCTGCCTCAGTCTCCCTAGTGCCCCCACGTATGGCCTTTGGCTTTAAAATTTGAAAGGTTCTATTTATAATATACAAAATTACATTTTGTGTAATCCACCACAGTGCAAAATAATCTGATCCTTTTGTTTTTATTCCCAAGTGCAGTGTTGCTTATCTTGTGTGTTAGTTACCACCATCAGTTTGTGGCACCTGTTATGCTCACTCCTGTTTTTATGCTAGTTCTAGTAAGCTCCTTGCTCCTTAACAGAGGTATAGTTCTCAACTACTCATGTATTTGTCTGGAAGATTCCACAGTGTTCAGGTCCTACCTACCTAAAATACAAGTCTGATGATTTAAACAATGGCAGTGAACTCAACCTGGTTTTCTCAACCATTTTTGCAAAGAAAACAGTCTCAGAATTTTAAAAAAATTTTGAAAAGGGGCTGGGGATGCAGTTTTGTGCAAAGACCCTGGATTCAATCTCCAGCACAAAATCAAAACAAAACAAAACAAAAAGATGCTGGCAAACAATGCAGGAAATCATCATGAAGATTAAATAACATGACCAAGTGGGACTCACCCCAGAGATTCAGGGTTGATTCAACATACATAAATCAGTAAGTATAATATATCACTAACAGAATCAAGGACAAAAATCATATGATCATCTCAATAGATGCAGAAAAGCTGACACAGTCTGGCACCCATTCATGATAAAAACCCTACAGAAAATTGGAATAGATGGTCTTTATCTCAATCTGATAAAATCCATCTATGACAAACCAACAGTCACCATCATACTAAATGGACAAACACTGAAAGCTCTAGAATCAGGAACAAGACAAGGATGTTCACTGTCTTAACTCTTATTCAACATAGTCCTGGAAACTTTAGCCAGAACAATTAGACAAGGGAAAGAAAGGAGTAAGGATAGGAAAGGAAGAAGTTACATTATCATTATTTGCAGATGACATGATACTCTACAGAGAAAACCCCAAAACTCCGCTAAAAAACTGCTAGATTTAATAAATTCAGTAGCATAGCTGGATACAAAATCAGCATTCAAAAATCAGTACCTCGCTGTACACAAATAACAGATTCACTGAGAGAAATTAGGGAGAAACCTTTCACAATAGCACCCAAAAATTGAAATACCTAGGAATAAACCTAACGAAAGATGTAAAAGACCTCTGCACTGGAAAGTATAGTGCTTTGAAAAAGGAGATTAAAGAGGATATTAGGAAATGGAGAGATATCCCATGTTCTTTTGTAGGAAGAACCAATATAGTGTGAAAATGACCATACTTCCAAATCTGTTATAGAATTAATGCAATTCTGATCAAAATTCCAATAGTGTATCTCACAGAATTAGAGGAAAGAATTGTAAAATTCATCAGAACTAGAAGAGACATAGAATAGCAAAGGCAATCCTGGTCAACAAAGATAAGGCAGGGGGCATCACAATTCCTGACTTGAAATTACACTATAAATCTACTGTGATAAAAACAGTGTGGTACTGGCAAAAAAAAAAAATAAAGAAAGAAGATCAGTGGAACAGATTAGAAGATGCAGGCACAACTACAAAGACACTTAGCTACCTTATCATTGACAAAGGTGCCAACCACATCCACTGGAAGAAAGACAGCCTCTTTAATAAATGGTGCTGGAAAAACTGGCTCTGCACATGCTGAAGATTAAAACTGGATCCATATCTTTCACCATGCACTAAATTCAAAGTGGACCAACGATTTAAATATTAAAACAGAAACATTAAATCTGCTGGAAGATAGAGTAAGTAAAACTCTTGAAGACATTGGTGCAGGCAAAGACTGTATGACTAAAACCCCAGTCTCACAGTAACTATCACAAAGAATCAACACGTGGATCTCATCTCATTAAAAAGCTTTTGCACATCAAGAGAAACCACCAACAGAGTGAAGAGACAACGCACAATGTAAGAAAGAATGTTTGCAAACTGTGCCTCAAAGGATAACTATTGAGAATATATAAAGAACTAAAAAAAAAAATCAGACCTCCCAAATTTAAAGACCCAATCCAAAAATGGGCATCTGAGATGCATACACACTTCTCAGATGAAGAAATACAAACAGCAAATAAATATATTAAAAAATGTTCAACATCACCAGTCATTCCATTGCAACATTGATATTCCACCTCATCCTGGAAAGAATGACTATTGTTTATTTTTATCTTTATTTTTTTGGTACCGGGGATTGAACTCCTGACCTCACACTTGCCAGGCAGGTGCTTATGCCACTGAGCTAAAGCCTCAGCCCCAAAAATGACTATTATTAAGAAACCAACCTATAACAAATGCTAGAGAGGCTGTGGGCAGAAAGGAACCCTTCTCCACTGTTGGTCGGAGTGTAGACTGGTGCAGTCCCTGTGGAAATCAGTGTGGAGATATCTAAAAAAAAAATTGGATTAGGGATCCCATTTGACAGCTATTCTTTTTCTGGGTGTCCTCTCAGAAGAATTAAAAACACCATACCACAGCAATACTTGTGCACCCATGTTTACAGCAGCACAACTTGTTAACACCTAGATCTTGGAAATGACCTAAATGCCCATTAACTGAGGAATGAATAAAAAAGGTACGGTCTTTTTACACAGTGAAGGTCTACTCAGCCTCAAAGGATACACTGGAGATTTTTATAGGTAAATGGATGCAACTTAAGACCATACCCATAAGTGAAATAAACCAGATTCACATGTGAACACTGCACTGTCTGCCTAGTGTGAGAAGCTGAAAGAGTAAACAAGATCCAAGTACAGCAGGTATTATAAAATGGGAAGAAGCTTCAAAAGGAAAGAGAAACTGGACTGGGGTGGGGGGTGGAGAAAAGGAAGGGAAAAGCAAAAATAAAATTATATATATACAATTATATATATAATTACACTACTAATTTCTCATTCATTGAAAAAGGTTTGTGCTAATATTATTTGGACAATTAAATGCTGATATCTTGTACTCTGAGTAAAGATAACAATATGCAATATATTAGCCATTGTTACCCTATCTTATTTTTATATATTTTTTCTCTTTAAAATAAAAAGAATTTTTTCAGAGTTTCTTGCAGTGAGGTTGCTGAGTAGATTAGATCAGGTCAGGTGTCAGGCACAGTATTAACTATTAGAAAATAAATAAGAGTCATCTGATTAAAACGGCATACCTGCTTGCCAGTTATGAAGAGTCTGCTTATCGGAGGCAGTGTTTTGGAATATCACCATGCAAGATGGTTTGAGTTTATAATTTCTCACCAGATAACGGAGTTGAGATAATCTTAGAAGGACAAATGGGCAAAGTTGACAAAGGACCAGGGGAGAGGGCTGCAGTGTTTATTACAGAAAAAAGTCCTATTTAAGTCTGAAGCAATCTACAAACAGGTAAAAGTTAGGATAGAAAAGTATTTGTTAAACTAAATAGCGTTTTCTGTATTTAAAGCAAAAGCTCCTGGGAGTCTTGGGTAGACCGTGTACCTTGGCTAACCTGTAAGGTTTGCAATAAAGGCACCAGTCCATCTGTAGGGTTGTGGCAGACTTCGGAAAATGAGCACATGAATGGCTTCTTAGTCTTCTAGACACACAGTGTGTGTGTTTCTGAGCTGTCTCTGGAGCCAGATAAATGTTACAGGGAAACTAGAACACAGGCCCTTCTCATTCTGTAGAGGAAGCTCAGCTGTCTGGGGAGTCATAGAGACAGTACTGAAGCTGTGTGTACAATAAATGCCTTTATGCCATGGTAATGTTCGTGAAAGCCGATGAACGCGATTTTCATGAATCAAAGCATACAGCTGTTTATTAAGGCAACATTCACCATCTGTACACACAGACCAAAGCATTGGGCCAGGGACTTAGTGAACTTGCTGGAGGCGTCTAAATTTGGGACTTAGTGAACTTGCTGGAGGCGTCTAAATTTGTATTTTCTTATACTGGCAGTTTTAAGCTACAAAATTTATAAAGTAATAAACCTGGTGGTGTAGGAAATCTGGAAGCTATCACCATGGCAACACTTCCTAACCCTCCTCCCGGACTTCCCTTTGGTAATACTTTTACCATCTTACATATTTTATGCTTTACCTGTAGTCTCCCCCCCAGGAAAATAAATATTAAAGGCTTAGAGGTTGGTTCTGCCACGATATCACCACCTAAATGTGGCTGCTATCGAAGTCTGTGTTTCCTCCATCTTTAGTTCTTTTTATTTTTTTGGTATCAGGGATTGAACTCACGACCTCACACTTGCCAGGCAGGTGCTTATGCCGCTGAGCTAAATCCCCAGCCCCGCTCCACTTTTAATAGGAGAGAAGTTCATCTTTGTGAAGGATGAGTCTGCTCGGCTGGATCTTCCTTTAAAAACTGTTTTAAACTTCTCCAGCATCTTAGCCTCTACACCCTGGGCCCACAGCTGAGGGGAGACCGCCGTCCCGCGCGTTCACGCCCATTCTCCTTTCTCCTGATTTGCATTCCCGGCCCCGGGCCACGCTGCAACGTCATCACGCTGGGACGTTAACGCTGGGCCCGCGGTGCCTCGCGCGGTGCTTGACGTCATGACGTACGCCTAGCAACAGCGCAGGCTCCCAGACTATTCCGTTATGGCCGCTGCAGCCCTGGGAAGGATGAGAGGGGTTGCGCCGGCGACACTGCTCCCCGGGTGGGGAATCCAGGCCCCTGGAGGGCTGGCGCGGCCGCCGGTCCTGGCACTCCTGCTGGCGCTGGTCTTGACTTCTGGTAAAGGGTGGGGAACCGGGTCAGGACGGGCGCGACGAGGGGCGCCGAGGGCTGGGCGCGGGTCGGAGCTCCGGCCGGACCAGGGGAAGGGCGCTTCGGGTCTGCAGCTCACGACGGAGGAAGCGTGTGGTGTGTGAAAGGGGTTGAGGACCGTGGGGGTCTCCGAGGGCTTGAGGAGTGGGGTTGAGGAATTGATAGTGAGCAGGGAGTAGAATGCAGGTGGGCAGGGAGAGGGTGTGGTGGCGTGGTCTGGGGGGACTTGAAGAAGAGCTGCCACGAGGAATGTGGGTGGCGTCTCCGGAATTCTTGGGAATGGAGAGTTAGGCAGGTCTCAAAAAAAGGGCAGAGGAGACAAGGGCTGAGGAGGTGGTCGCGGAGGGGCAGTGTGGTGTGTGAGGAACCCGGAGTAGGGGGACCAGCAAGGCAGAGGAAGGAAGGAAAGAAGGAAGGAAGGGGATTTCCCGTAACGCGTGAGTCCTGGGATGTTGGACTCCCGAGAGCTCTGGGAGGAGGGGAGGTTGGGAACAAAGGAGATTCTTTTTAAGCGTGGCCGTTACACTATGCAAATATAAGGTGTGGTGAATTCACCAGCACAGCCCTGGCTTATTTTAATGGATCCATAAGGCTTGGTTAAGGAAGGATTTTTTAAAATTGCAAATGTTGCACTGTTAATCGAGATATTGTGAGATTTATTGAAAAATGAGGGAATTTGTAAACGAGGGCCTGAAATTTAGTGGGAAAAATCTAATAAGAACTTACAAGTTCATAAGCAAGGTCTTGTTTAGTGGACCCCTCTCCCACTTTTAAAGTCTGAGACAGAATCCTTTTCTCCCAAAATCTTTTGAGTTTTTGGGTTGTTATGGGGAAAATAACTCCAACCTGTTAGATACCATGTGAGCCGAATTTGTGATTTCACAATGTCGGGGAATGAAGATGGAATCAAAGGAGGAAGTTAGAGTTTTGTCGGAAAAAAGAATAGCTACTGGATTTCCAGGCCACGTCTTGAGTGGGTGGCCATTTAAGCTGTTTGTCAAGAGTATTTACATAGTGAAATCACAACGTGGGTCAAACTACAATCAATATAGAGTTACAAGTATAGTCGCTTAGCTAATAGGGAAAAGAGTCACATAGCAAGCGTTCATGGAAAGAACAAAGGAGTTCTTGGAAAGGGATGGGTCCAGATGCTCTGGTCAGCCACTTAGGCATCTGATACCTGTGTGGGCACACTGGACCAGGCTGTGCTAATTACAGTGTCATCTCAGATTGCTGCTTTATCTTGCAGGCCTGGCTACTGCATCTCCATCTCAAGACCTTGCTTTCTTCTAATTCACCACCGGTCACAGTCTTTGTCTTATCCTCTGTGCTGACTTCCTCTAGGGCCAAGTTCTCTGACTGCTTATTAATGTTGCTCTAACATAGCTGTCTGTAATAAGGTGAAAAACAGTGTGACCCATGATGGTTTTCTGAGCTCATCACCAGAGATGTCCAGCTATACCTTTCTTTACTACAGTGCCATGGGAACATACTCAGTGTTTCCTCAATAGCACTGCAGGCCAGCAATGGACTGCCCTCCCTCAAGTGTTTGGGGAAGTGTAAGGGAAGGACTGTGGTCCATTTCACAAGGCCCTTTCATTATTAGTAAAATGTGCTCCTGTAATTGCAGCCCTGAAGGAGTCTGAGGCAGGAGGAGCTCTGCCCAGCAGTTTTGCAAGACCCTATCTCACAAATGAAAAAGAGCTGGGCCATAGCTCTGTGGTAGTGCTCCTGGGTTTGACTTCCCAGTCAGTACTGAGGGTGGGGGTGCGGTAGGAGCATTTCCCTGGTTGATGCAGATCCTGCTGTTCCTAAAGTTCTTGAGTAGTAGAAGTGTGTGTGTTTGTATGTATATACCAGGGATTGAACCTAGGACCTTCCCGCTGACGTGCTCTTTTTAGTTTTTATTTTGAGATGGGATATTACTAGTTTGCTGAATTGTCCAGGCTGGGCTCAGATCTGCAGTCCTGACTCAGTCTCCCGGAGTGCTGGAAGTACAGGTGTGTACTGCCCTGCCTGGCTGCATAATTGTTTTGATGATTTAATCAACTAAGAAAAAGTGGCATTGAATTATTTATATTTCCTGCTGGAATGCTTAAGTGTGGTTTGGGGATATGTGTCTGGGAACTAGTTTCAGAAGTGACTTTGCCTATATGATGATTGAAAATCTTGTGTTGGGGTGAGGAGGGGCAAATGAGATGTGTAGGGTATTAAGGTGTCCTTACGTCAGTTTTTGTTAGAGCCCCTAGACATTGCTCTGACTACTTGAACCTTTTAGGGACTCCTTTTAAATTGAGTCTTTCTACATACTGATGTTATACATTCAGATTATCCCTGCTGAAAATAAATGAAAGCTAACACACAATGCTTTTCACAGGAGAGCAGCTTCATTGCAATAGAGTTTGTAAAGCATGGTTAATACTGTGGTTTTTTTTTTTGTAAGCATGCCTGTGTTGGATTTCAAAATAATTTCATAGTAACCACTCTTGTGATAAGAAAATTAAAAGTTAGGATATGCTGAGTTCTAAATTTCAAATAAGGGGCCAGGGATTTAGCATAAGCTCCTGCCTGGCAAGTGTGAGGTTGTGAGTTCCATTCGGAATCCCGTACCCAAAACAAACAAACAAACAACAACAACAACAAAACACTGCAGTTGCCACTAAATTTCAAATAAGTTTAGAAATTGGAAAGTTACCCCATTACGTTTATTTAAACTTGTTCAGTGTTAGGTTTCTCGAAATTTCAGTGCTTAGGTGTTATTCTTGACAGTCTGTAAGAAGTTTTCCATTTTGTGTTTTTGTCTTGATAAGATCTAAAAAAATTAACAGCATTTTGATCATAAGATGGCCAGTTTGTGTTTAAGTCTTGCTATACTATTTCAAAAGTTCTTGCTTTCCTCTATTTTCCCTTGTTATGCATAGTGTAAATATGTGATGCATTTAATTTTAAAGCAGATTTTCTCAAGCTAGTGCATGAATGAATTTCTCAGGGTTGTCTGCAGTCTCTGGAAAAAAAAATTTTTTTTTCAGTGCTGGGAATTGAACCTAGGACCTTGCACACCGTATTCAAATTTGAGAATAATTTTATTTCAAGACAGTTTTTGAAAGGGTCCAATAGATGAAGAAAATTAAATTTTAAAAGTTTTAGGTCTAAAACCTAAGGGTTTAGATAGGTTGTTTCAGTATGTAGTTCAGACTGGCCTTAAACTTACTGTGTTGCCTAGGCTGGCCCCTAGCTTGTGGTGATTCTCCTGTCCCAGCCTCCTGAGTGCTGGTATTACAGGTATGTGCCACTATGCCTGGCTTAAATTTTTTTGTTTTTTTGATGTGAAGCTTTACCTGGAGAGATAGTATCAGTTAGGAAAGGGAAGAAGTAGAAGATTTAAGAGTCTAAAGTAATCTATGTAGAGCTCAGTAATTCAATCCATAGTATCAGAATTGTCACTTTGATCATTCTGAATACTCTTCTCATGTGACTGGGTCAGCTCTTCTGATTTGAAGAAGAGGTCAGACGGTGAGGTTGATATGGTTTGTATCAAATGTTTCAGATGAATTCTTGGTTCATTTTCCTAGTTCCTTTGTGTATCACTTCTGAGTTGCTTCTTAAACAGTATATATTTTCCTCCTTGATGCTAAGCATTGGCGCTAGCTGGTGAACAGTGATGTCGCAGGTATTCTTAGCAGGCAAGTGCTTGCTTGGTCAGGTCCCCGGGAGGGCTTTCCAGGAGGCCCCCTAGGTGCAGAGATGCTCCTTGGGACCTGAGGTGGGTTTGCCATTGGGCTGGCAAACTTAAGCTTACTTAGTAAGTACTTGTTTATTGGCCGCCTTATGTTGAGTAGGCAGTGGAGATAGAGTGGATCAGCTAGGGAGGGTTAATGAGAGTGAGGACTGGGAGCCGGCCTGCCTGCTGGAGAGTGCAGATCATTAAAGACTTGGCCTTTTGAGATGGGGTGGGGAGGGGGAAGGAGGAGAGCACAAGTGAGCATCCCTGGAGGGTTTTAAGTAGACAAGTGACCTCATTTCACCAAGTGTGTTTAGGACGACTCCGCAGAGTGTGGACCTGTGGATCGCAGGGGTGAGGGTGGCCGTAGGCCAGTCGGAGTCCGTTGGAATAGCCCAGCTGAGGTGCCAGGTGGACGAGGAGGCTGTTAGAGGCAGGCCAGGGATCTGTGTGGCCTAGGCAGTAGCATGGAGAGATAGCAGAGTGACAGGTTGGGTGTGAAGTGTCAGAAAGTGACGCTCTTCAGGCATTTGGTTTGAGTAACCAGAAAGCTGGAATTGCCGGTAACTGAGACAGAGGCTGTAGTGGAGCAGTGGGCCATAGCAATTTATTTCTTGAAATTGTCGGGGTCGCTCCCGGCCGGCAGGAAAGACACACGACAGATTCTGACGGTGTGCAATCTTGCCTTTATTTGTCTCCACGTGGGCCCCGCGAGGCCTCCTCTCTGCCACCAGTCCTTTCTCGCCGGTGGACTTTCTCTATCTCTCTCGTGCTTCCTCCTCGTGGCGGGAGAGGCATTCACTTTTATAGGGCAACAGTAGCCAATCAGTTCAAAGCGCGCGATGCGGGCTGACTGGCTAACATCAGCTGTTGCTAGGCAGACTATCTTACAGAGCGGGTTGTTTAAGTCGCCAGGGCAATCAGGGGGCAGGAAGCAGGCGCCAACTTGGCTCACTCGATGGGAGGGGCAATCTAGCTCAGGCTCCGCTCCCACCCACAGGCCCTACGTCCGCCAAGTAAGGCGACCGGTGTCGGCCGCGGCTCCCAACATCTCCCCCTATTTTATTTACTTTGAATGAATGTATGCATCGCAGCCCGCCCTGGATCGAGTGCAGAGGCTTATGCCCTGTGTTGAGGCCCACCGTAGGCCCTTGGCTTGGACCCTGGTCGGCCGCCCCCGGGTCCGCCACGGCCTTGAGACCCTCGTCCTTTTTCCAGGGCCAGGAGTGAACTGGACGGAACCTGG